TTTTTTTATAAATTTCGAGCATAAATACTATCTTTTATTTTAATTTTATATTTTATATTTTATTTTAATTAAATTAAATATAAAAATTTTTGCAGAATTAATTAAAAACACTATATTTAATAAAGTTTAACTTGTACTTTTAAAATATATATATTAAAAATTACTTTAAAATATCTTTAATTATTTAACATGACTAACATAATATTTTTTTTTTTGTCAACACTACCTTTAATGCAACTTAATTATTGAAGATTTGTGCTAAATGGGTTGTTTGTGTCCCTGAAATAAGGCCTGTACCATACAAAGAATTAGAGTTTGGTATGCTGATTTTTTAAAACATCTCAGCTTTGTTTATTGATATATATTAATATTTTGTCATAATGATTTGATTTAAAACTATAATTTTTTTTTTAACACAAGGTAGTATGACTCCAACCCTAGACCTTTTACATAAATGAATATGCCTTTATTAAAGGATGGGTGGCCGGCCCCCGAGGACTTCTTAATTTAAAACTACAATTTAAATATAAGTAATGACATAAATTTTAAGTAATTTTTTAATATCTAATACATTTAATTTCAAATTTCATAGTTTCGCTTTTTAGTTTCATTTTTAACACAATTCTAGCAAAATATATATTCTCTTACATTCACAAGTCAAATATAAAATTTAATTATCTAATCATCTTCTTCTCTTTTTTATTTTTTATTTATGAATTCTTCTTTTCTAGTATTGTAGTTGGTTCCCTTTATGATAAAATCTCAACTCTGTCACTGATTTTAATAATAAAAATTATGGATGTTGGACAACCCATTTAAATAAGGTATCGAGTTCGAGTCCTTGTGTACGCAGCAGCCATCGCTGGAAGACTCACCCACCATTTCCAGGTGCACAACGCGGGTCGAGTCCGGATTAATCGAGGTGAAGTCTCGAATAACGGGCGGGAAACCAATAAAAAAAAAAAAAAACCCATTTAACTTAAAATTTTTTTTCTTAATTTATAGCTGTGCCCCTCTAAATTTAAATTCTTATTACACCACTACATGTAACTTATATCCCCTTAAGTTTTTTTTTTTTGAACAAGTAGACAAGGTAGGTTCTAACCCACCATGGGAAGGGGAAAGTGCACCTCCAAAGTAATTTGAAAGTCGCTTGGTCCGAAGGACTAAGTGTCCCCTTAAGTTTTAATTATGAATTGTTAGTATTTTAGTTTGTATTATAAGATGCACATCACATCAAATCTTAATTAATTTGAAATTAAGTTATGTCGGATCTCATAAAAAAAAATTTCTTTCGATATTTATTTTTTTATTCATAAGACTTAAATTCAAGAATTTATTTAAAAAAATTAAAATTTTTTCATTTAAATTAACAATTCGTCAGTTAAGATATAACTCTTATTGTTATAGGAAAATAGAATTGACAAGAAGGCTTGGCATTAGGGAGAGATAATGAAAAAGTCTTTTGGACCAGGAAAGATTAGACTATAGGGCTGACCGCTTCTGTGTCTGTTACGTGACTTGTGGGGATTGAGATTTCTCATAGATTATTAGTTTTTTTGAACATTCATAGATTATTAGTTTAATTTATAAGCCACTTGCGTTCTGCATACGGTTGACTGTTGATGTTTCTTGGGCTTCGAGAATGAAATTTAATTCTTTGAACCGCATGCTTCACGAGTTTAATTTCCAACGAAACGATAAACAGTAAAATACTTAAATAAAAAAA